ACAGACCATTCACTAATAGTAAATGGATGAATAGAATGAATATTCTATCCTAGGTTTTATAAAATGGCATTTAGTGGAGCGTGATTAGGATAGTAAATACGGACTGTGAGCCGTTATGTATTTTTATAAATCGAAATACGGTCTGCTTACCGTTCGGTATTTTTGTACCTTAATATTTAGATTAGTCCTAGTCTTAATTACTAGTAGTTGTATAATTGATGGTGATGTCACGAAGACGACATTTCTAAGAAGACGAATCCATGAAGTTGCACTGAAGGCCCTTAAGGGTTTGAAGATTCAAGTTTCAAGGGGTGATGCTGGTTGCCAAATGCATTTTTTACTTACGTTTTTAATTATTAAGTATGCTTATACATATACATATACATATACATATATATATATATATGTATATATATATATGTATATATATATATATAAGATTCATGTTTAATTAGGATTTTGAATGTTGTGATGATTAGTTAAGTTTACTTAAATAAACTAACATAAAACCCTAAGTCCCTTAGAATATTGAGTTAAATTTTTCATTCCAAAATAACACCTACCGAATTAATGAGAAAAGTAGTGGGTTGTGCAAAAGTACATAATTACTAATTTCCTAGTGATGTAAGGTATTTTGATGGGTTTGCCAAAGCAAGACATTATATACAGATTGAATTTGGTTAAAAACAATGACATCAGTAAGGAGTCCTTTGATGTCATGGTAATGGAGATTATGCAAGCCAGCCATTGTTTAGTCACTTTATGGTTTTTGGGATCTTGGAATCGTTTTATTCTTGCCTAAAAGGGAAAATTTTATATATATCAATAAAATGCTTAATAAGATTGAAAGTTTGCATGTATGCTTTAAAATTCAAACTTATTATATTATTATCTTGATAAATGGCATACTTTAAACTTATATTTGCAAATTTATAAATCAAATTTTAATGTTTTTAATGATTGGTGAAAGGAAATATTTTTCATAATGGTTCTCAAAGAAAGGAAAAGCATTTCTAAAATACAACTTTTCATAAATAACTTTTTTATATCAAATTCTGAAAGGTCAAATGGAAATCATGTATTCAGAATACTAGGTAGTTTTAATAAACATGAAATATTGAGTTTAAAACTCATATTATTAGTAGTTGGCAACCAACATATCCTTTCGCTTCATACACTACTGAGTACAACTCATTGATGTAGTAATTCAAGTATGTATTAAAGAAAAAGATGGAAATTTAACTAGTGGAAAAAAATTTTATTTTTAACATGCTATTTGTAATGGGCAAATGATTTTCCGTTAAAATTACATCATTTGTAACGGGCAAAATCAATATCGGTAATAAAAAAGCAGTGTCTTGAGCAGGAAAATACTTATTTGTAACGGGCAGATTAGTGCCCATTATTGATGAGTGGCATTAATGCCACTCTTTTATCCTTTTTGTCTAAGGATTATCCCCTCATTTCCACTTGTTTGGCCCTTTTTCTAAGCATTTTTACTTAGTTTTCCTTCCTCTTTTCTTTCTCCTTTATCTTCCCTTTTCTTAGTCTTCTCGCTTTGTTCTTATTGTGATTTTCATGCTTATGCTTTTTAGGAACCATCGGGATTTTCAAGAGGAGGAAGCTAAGCTCAAGGGAAGCTGGAGGAAGCATGATTCAGAAGAGGTTCGGCGGAACCTCCTGAAGGTGTGGCCGAACCAAGGTGTGGCCGAACCTGCTCAGTGGTTCAGCCGAACATCGAGGCAGGGACAAGATGGAATTTGGCAGTTTTGCAGGAGTGGCCGAACCACAGGAGTTCGACCAGACCAGGATCAGGGAGGTTCGACCGAATCTACCTATGGTTCGGCCGAACCTACCCTGTAGTCTGGCCGAACCTACCCTATAGTCCGGCCGAACCTTCCCATTGTTCGGTCGGACCTCTCATTTTATCAGCTAGCTCTGTACGGACTATATAAGTCCCATCTTAGAACGTTTTGAGGAGTAGATTAAATTAGTTTTAATTTTTCTACATTTTAGCTTAATCTAGAGAGAGAAACACTATTAGTCTTCATTGGTAGAGAGCAAAAGTGTGGTTTTCTTCATTAATGAACTTGGATTTTGAAGAAGGAGTTTGTTCAATCCTTTGTAGACCTTCTTCTTCAATTAATGAGCAATCTCTTACTCTTTCTCTTTACCTTTGTTTTTTATTTTGCTTATTTGCTTTGATTTTTCTTCTTTGCTTATTAATCATGTTGATGCTTATTAATTTGATGATTGATATTGTTTTCAATATGATTTGTGAGTAGTCACCTAGCCAAGGGTGTGGGGATGGTGTAGCTGCTAATTGTTCATGCTTATAATGTTGGGGTTATGTTAATGGTGATTAAAGTCTTTGCATGCTTGATATTCTTTGGTCTTTCTTGCAAGTGCACATTGTTAGTTGATCAAAGATGAGTCTTTACTAACAAGTAACGGAAGTTGACTTAGTTGAGATTCATTACTATCGATAATTCTTTGTTTGCACCCTCTAATATATGGTTCTAATGTGGAAACATAGAGGCTATTTTAGGAGAAACCAATAAACCCCGGAAGACGGTTAGATTGGACCCCTTTACTTCGGTGTTCATGCATGTTTAGTTTACCATTGATAAGCTACTTTATTATTACATGATCAAGCATCAACTTCACCTACCCATTTCCCTTGGTGCCTAGCTATATTAATTTTAATCCATTTCGTTCTTAGTTTAACCTTTTAGCTATTCACACTTCTTGTTCCAAGATAGCTTAGACCCTAGGTAATGAATGCAGTGCTTAAGCATTTCTCCCACTGGTTCGACCCCTCTATTTACCCTATACACGTATTAGGTCAGTAGAGCGTTATAAATTCATTTGATTTAGGTGTAGTCGCTCAACGACACGATTATTGCCTTGTCAAATTGGCGCCATCGCCGGGGAGACAACTTCCATTGCTATTTCATTGCTTGTTTGAGACTATCTCATCTTTATTTGTTAGTGTTTGCTACTTTTGCTACTTGTCAGTGCTTACGTTCTTCTTAGCTTTGTTGTATGAACAGAGGACGAACCTGCTCAAGATCTTTGATTCCCATCGATCCAGAGATAGAGAGGTCTTTGTCCCTACTTAGAAGAGAAGCAAGAGTGAGGAGTAGAAATTCCCACACTCCAACGTGAGGAGTAAGAGAATTAGAAGATACTCCACCCTCTTCACCCTCAAGTGAAGAGTTAGATAGCCCTAAATCATCTTCGAGTTCAGAAATCAACCCTTTCTCAACCTATAAGTTTGAGAGTGAAGAAGGTTCTAAAATGGGAGATAATACGCCTTTGAGTCGTCTTGGGGCCCCCGAAGCTTTTAGAGCGCAAAGTGGGATCCTAACTCCTACTAATCAACCCAAGAATTTCGAGATCAAGCATAATTTGATTGCCTTGATTGAGAGGAAACAATTCTCGGGTGGAAAGTTTGAGAGTCCTCATGAGAACCTAAAAGAGTTTGAGATGACACAATAAAGGCCAATGGAGTGACTCAAGAATATATTCGCCTCAAAATGTTTCCATTTCTGCTAATTGGGAGAGGTCTAGAATGGCTAGAGAAGGAGGTGCCCCCTAATTCTCTCACAACATGGGACCAAGTGACTACGACTTTCTTGAGGAGGTTTTATAACCATAGGATGACCGCCGAGGCTCGGCCTTTGATTCAAGGTTTTCGCCAAAAGAATGGTGAGTCTCTAAGTGTGGCATGGGAACGATACAAAGAGCTACAACGTCAATGCCCACACCATGGGATACCCAAGTATCAACTCATTCACACTTTCTATGGAGGTCTCACACCTCAAGGAAGAACAAGCCTAGACGCCGCGGCCGGTGGTCCAATCATGAACAAAGGAGAGCATGAAGTGGAGTGTATTATAGAGGAGGCCGCAAAGCACTATGATGATTGGTATGAAGGAGAAAGGGATGTTACTTCTAGCAAGGGTGTTTATGCATTTGAGCAAGCCAACGCAATCAACAACCTTTCTACGCAAATCTCCAAAATGACCAAGCAAATGGATGAATTGATGAAAGAAAGGTCCAACCCTCATGGTAATACCTCCCCCTCAACTAAGGGAGGCAATGGTATGGATACTTCCTCCCCCTCTTCTTACAATACATTGCCCCAAGGATGCATGTTTTGTTCTAATTGTGAAACCTATAATCATGATACCTCTCATTGTGTATATGCTTGCGAAGTTCAACCCCCTTCCCATCAACATGATGGTAATATGGAAAATGTCAATGTTATGAATTTTGCTCCTAGAATGGAAAATATAGGAAACTTGAGGCCAAACTCCAATCAAATGGGGAATTGGAATCAAAGTGGAAACCGTGGTTGGAACCAAAGTGGTGGTGGTTATGATAACCAATACCATGGTGGGGGAGGCCCTTTCAATTTCAATGGAAGATGCTACTCTAACCAAAGGGGGTATGGTAATCAAAACCAACAACCTAATTCCTGATACCATGACCATCAAAATAAAAATTTTGGTGACCAAGGTAACATGGGAAATAATCAACAAAGCAATGTTCCTAACCAAGGCACCAAAGGCAATAGGGGCCAATTTGTTTCTAACTATGCCCAAACTAATAGGCCTCCGGGTTTTCATCAACCCCAACTTCCTCCACCTTAACAACCTCTTCAACTTGAAGCCCCTCCAATAGATCCCATGATGGCTAAATTAGATGCTCTTTTAAAAATGCGTGAGGAGGATCAAAAGAAACATGAAGAGGCCCAAAAACGAACCAATGCTCATATGAAAATGCTTGAGACCCAAATTTCTCAACTTGCATCTAATTCATCCCCTTCTTCTTCTTCTTCTTCTTCTTCTTCTTCTTCTTCTTCTTCTTCTTCTTCTTCTTCTTCTTCTTCTTCTTCTTCTTCTTCTTCTTCTTCTTCTTCTTCTTCTTCTTCTTCTTCTTCTTCTTCTTCTCACATCCCAAGTCAAGGAGTCAACCCAAAACCTTTGTATGTCATGACAACTAGGAATGGGAAGGTAGTAGGGAGTGACCCTTTAATTGAGGAAGAACCCCAAGAAGGGGTGGAGTTAGAGAATGAGGGTGAAAAACCCAATGAGCCATTGAGTGTTGAAAAGGAAAAACATGTTGAGATGCCCAAGGAAAAAGAAGCCACCCCCTTGCCCCTAAATCGCCAACCTAGAGAGGAGAAGCTACCCTTTCCACAACGATTTGTGAGAGCTAAACTTGATGCCCAATTTGGGAATTTTTTGGAAGTCATTAAGAATTTGCATATTTCTGTCCTTTTTGTTGATGCTATGAAGAAAATGCCCCACTATTCCAAATTTTTGAAAGATCTTTTGAGTGTGAGAAGGGAGTGTGAGACGGTGAGTTTGACCGCCAATTGTAGTGCAATTCTTTCCAACAAACTACCTACCAAATTGAAAGATCCGGGTTACTTTTCCATCCCTTGTTCTATCAATGGCATTGAATTTGATAAAGCCTTGTGTGATTTAGGATCGAGTGTGAGTCTCATGCCCTATTTCGTCTACCAAAAGCTTAGTGTAGGAACCCTCTCTTCACTAACATTACTCTCCAACTAGCAGACCGTTCCGTTAAGTTCCCCATGGGAAAAGTTGAGGACATTCCCCTTAGGGTAGGAAAGTTCACATTCCCCGTGGATTTCTATGTGCTAGAGATGGATGAGGATGAGAGGATTCCTATAATTTTGGGTAGGCCATTTCTAGCTACTTCTAGAGCTATCATCGATGTGAAGGAGGGGAAGATATCCTTGAAAATTTACAATGATTCTATTGAGTTTGATTTGAATAATGTCATGCAACAACCCACCTCAAGTGGTGAATGCTTTAGGGTAGATGTTCTTGATACCGTTCTAAATGACTTTTCTCGCTCCCACTTGCATGCTACTAATGATCCTCTTGAAAGTGTGTTGTTGAATGAATCAAAGATAGGTACTCATAAAGAATACATACAATTCTATGAGGATTTTCTTGAGGAAAGCAAGAATGAGTGCAAGGGCACGAGCATGGAAGAAGAGGCTCCTTACATTCATTACCTCTTTCAAGTTGAAGAAAGAGAAGAGAGCCCCAATGGTAAGGGAGCACCAAAGGTAGACTTGAAACCTCTACCTTTGGGCTTGAGGTATGCATTTCTTGGTCCCGATGAGTCTTTCCCCATGATTGTAAATTCTTACCTAACGGAGGAGCAAACCTCCCTCTTGATCAATGTTTTGAGAAAACACATGAAAGCTTTGGGTTATACCATTCATCATATCAAAGGTATTAGTCCATCTTTATGTATGCACAAAATTGATCTAGAGGGAGATGCCAAACCCGTTAGGAAAAGGCAAAGAAAGCTTAACCCTTCCATGCAAGAGGTTGTGCGGAAGGAAGTGGCTAAGCTTCTTGATGCGGGAATTATTTACCCAATTGCTCATAGTGATTGGGTATCTCCCGTGCAAGTTGTGCCTAAGAAAGGAGGCATGACGGTAGTGAAAAATGATCATGATCAACTAGTACCCACTAGACTTGTTATCGGTTGGCGCATGTGTATTGACTATCGCCAACTTAACACAAGTACATGAAAAGATCATTTTCCACTACCGTTCATTGATCAAATGTTGGAAAGGCTTACAAAGAATTCCTTCTATTTTTTCCTTGATGGTTACTCGGGATTTTTCCAAATGTCGATTGACCCCAAGGATCAAGAGAAGACGACTTTCACATGCCCCTACGGTACTTATGCGTATCGTAGGATGCCTTTCGGGCTTTGTAAAGCCCCCGCAACATTCCAACGTTGCATGATGTCCATTTTTAGTGATATGATTGAGGATGAGATAGAAGTCTTCATGGATGACTTCTCCGTTGGAGCCGTTGGAGGAGCCACCTATGAAGATTTTCTATCTAATTTATCTCGTTGCTTAGAAAGGTGTGAGAGGGCTAACCTCGTGTTGAATTGGGAAAAGTGCTACTTTATGGTGGAAAGTGGGATTGTTCTTGGGCACAAAATTTCCCATGCCGGCATTGAGGTTGATAAAGCCAAGGTCCAGGTCATCGAAAAACTTCCTCCTCCCACCAACGTGATGGAAGTGAGGTCTTTTCTTGGCCATGCCGGGTTTTATCGGCGCTTTATAAAAGATTTTTCAATGATCTCTAAGCCTCTCACATCCCTATTGCAACAAGATAAGGAGTTTGTGTTTGATGATGCTTGTCATAAGTCCTTTTGGAGGATAAAAGAAGCCCTTTGCACCGCTCCAATTGTCCAAGGTCCGGATTGGTCTCTTTCATTTGAGCTCATGTTCGATGCAAGCGACGAGGCCATTGGATCAGTTCTTGGACAACGAAAGGATGGGAAAATTCATGTCATACATTTTTTGTCTAAAACTCTCAATGATGCCAAACAAAACTTCACAACTACCGAGAAGGAGTTCCTAGCGGTTATCCATTCATTCGAGAAGTTTAGAACCTACCTCATTGGTTCTAAGATAATTGTGTATACTGACCACTCGGCTCTCAAATATTTGATAGGGAAGAAGGAAGCTAAACTAAGGTTGTTGAGATGGGTTTTAGTCCTCCAAGACTTCGATTATGAGATGAGAGACAAGAAGGGAGCCGAGAATGTGGTGGCGGATCACCTCTCAAGGTTGGGCCGTGCAAGGTTTTAAGATGATTGCTTGCTAATAGAGGATACTCTAAGAGATGATGTGATATATGTCCTAGAAGTGAAATCGGAGCCGTGGTATGCGGATATATGTCCTAGAAGTTCCATACCGCCGGATTTCACTTCGCAACAACGTCGAAAACTCAAGCACGAGGCCAAGAGATACATTTGGGATGATCCGGTTTTATTGAAAAGAGGGGTCGATGGTTTGTTTAGGAGAACCCCAACGACGAGGTTCAAAGTGTTTTCCATATGTGCCACTCTTCTCCTTGTGGTGGGCATATGAGTGCTCAAAAGACCGCCTCAAAGGTCCTTCAATCTATGCTCTTTTGGCCTTCTCTATTCAAGGATGCTTGGATATTTGTCAAGACTTGTGATAGATGTCGACGGATAGGGAATAAATCTAGAAGGGATGAAATGCCGCAAAACCCCATCCTTGAGCATGAATTTTTTGATGTGTGGGCTATAGACTTCATGGGCCCTTTCATTTCTTCACATGGGAACAAGTATATTTTGGTCGCCGTTGACTATGTGTCTAATTGGGCGGAGGCCGTGGCTTCTCCAACGAATGACTCTAAGGTGGTGGTCAATCTTTTCAAGAAAGTGATCTTCCCGAGATTTGGTGTTCCAAGAGTAATAATTAGTGATGGGGGATCGCATTTCAAGCACCACACCTTCGTTCGACTACTTGATAAGTATGGGGTGTCTCACAAGCGAGGGCTTGCTTACCACCCTCAAACGAGTGGTCAAGCGGAGGTCACCAATAGAGAGCTCAAGGTGATTTTGGAGAAGAGGTTGCTAGGACAAGGAAGGATTGGTCCTCCAAACTCATTGATTCACTATGGTCTTATAGGACCGCCTTCAAAACTCCAATAGGGACCACTCCTTACAAGCTTGTCTATGGGAAAAATCGCCATTTGCCCAAGGATATGGAGCATCGAACGCATTGGGCAATCAAGCAAATCAACTTTGATCTCCATAGTGCGGATGAGCAAAGGCTTCTAGAGCTACATGAGTTAGAGGAGTTGAGGATGAATGCCTACGATAGCGCAAGCATGTATAAGGCGCGGACTAAGGCTTGGCACGATGCTCAAATTGTCAAGAAGGAATTCGTCAAAGGCCAAAAAGTCCTCCTATTAAACTCCCGCTTGAAGCTTTTCCCGGGAAAAACTTAGGTCAAGGTGGAGTGGGCCGTACATTGTCACGGAAGTGTTTCCATATGGAGCCTACGAAATCTCCCAAGACGGCCACTCTCCTTTCAAAGTCAACGGTCACCGTCTCAAGCCCTATTATGAAGGATTCCCAAGTGATGAACCGATTTCTGTGACACTTCTTGAGGTGCATCGTTAATTCGACCCTCCTTGATCAACTCAAGGAACGTCGAGCTAACGACGTTAACCAAAAGTTCTTCCGGGAGGCAACCCGAGTTTCTAACCCTTTTCTACTTTTTCTTTTCATGTTGCTTCTATTTTTCCATCTACAACTTTGGATTGTTGGGAGTTTTGAGTTTTGATTGTGTTTGGGTTTTTGATATGCTTTGCATCTAGCATGATTGTATGGTGTTTAAATATGTGTTAAGGACTATTTTTACATGCGTGATTCTTTATGGGAGTTTTGCCGAACCACTTTATGTTCGGCCACTGCAGCATTTTCAAGGATTTATGGCAACATTCTGCCAAGAACAAAAATTTTGCATTTTGGCAAAAGGTTCGACCGAACCTAAGGATGGTTCGACCGAACTTATACTGTAGTGCGGCAGAACTTTCCTGGGTTCGGTCACTCCTCAATTTTTAGAAAATTTCAGCAACATTCTGCCAGAAATCGCAAACTTGAAGTTTCAGCATAGGTTCGACCGAACCCCTGGGAAGTTCGACCAAACATGCTCTGTAGTTCGACCGAACTCTCTCCAGGTTCGGTCACTCCTCCATTTTTGCGAATTTGCTGGAACTTTTTGCCCGGATTTCAGAAAATTAAGTTTTGGCCATGGTTCGACCGAACAAAAGGGGAGTTCGACCGAACTTTCACTGTGGTTCGACCGAACATACCTTTGGTTCAGCCGAACCATTCTTCAGATTTGAAAAAAAAATGATGCTGCCTAAGTTTTATGCAGCTGTATTTTCGTGACCCTCATTCCCATTTTCGTCACCTACCCCTTTCTCCTCCTTCTCACTCTAAAAGTCCATTACACCTCCCCTTACAACCTCAAATCTCCATCAAAATCACTCCAATCTTCACCCTTTCTCACTTATTTTCCATCCTCTACTCAATTTCTACAATCTCCACCAAAAATTCCTCACAAAAAACCCATCTTTTATTTTTCCCAATTTCAAGGGTTTAAGTGCTTTGGTGTTTTTGGGTTTTTACTTCCTTCCAATCAATTGTGGTATGTTTTTCCTAGCTTTTGCAAGTTTATTTCTTTAATTTCTCATAGTTTTACCATGTTTTACATATTTAAGTATGAATTGTGGTATTCTTGAAATTGTTAGTAATAACTTGTTTGATTCATGTGGTTCTTTGGATTGACTTGTTGCAATTGATTGGTTGTTGATAGTAGAACATGTTGTTATGATGATTATGCATGTTTTCCTTGGTTTTATTTTGATCTCAATGTCTTTGCTTAAGATTGTTGATTTCATACTAGGGTGTTCATGTTACCATTTTATGATTGAGAAATGCATGAGTTGGATGTTGTTGGAGATTGTTATTCATTGTTTTGGTTTGATTTTGATGGTTTGATAAATGGATATCATGAAAATTAGGGGACATCATGCCCAATTTCACTTAGACTTTGTTAGGACTAATATAGGAATGACATAGGAATTCTTATTCAAACCTTGGTTCAAATGTATTCATGCATGCCTTGAATTGTATACTCTCATGCATACACTTTTACCTTGGCTAGCTACTTGGATTCTTATGTCAT